AATTACATAATTCCTCTTCTTATTTACAGCAATAAATTAGAGGCCTGGCATGATAGTAACGGTATAAACAAACATTTTTTCAAAGGCTCGACATTACGGCGAGAGCTTAATTGATGATTGATACGAGAATGAGTCAAAAGTTCTGTGACGAAGACTTACAAGTTTGTACAAGTTCAAACATTTTCTTTAGAGACTCCTTAATAACATACAAATGTCCGATCGTTCTATGTAAAGTCATCATTAAGATAGGTTGCATCCCCAATAGGTTTACGGAGACTCTGAATCATGTAGAGTAGTTGGTTATGATTGAATGAAACACTTTAAAGAGGAAAGAGCGCAATTTGATGACGACCCACAAGGAGGGAGACCCACCACAGGAAGGAATCAAGAAAATCTCTCTTGTGCAGAACCTAGTGTAGGAACAAGATCGGCGAGTTAACATTGAGGAAATTGTCCATGAAGTAGGAAACACATACGGATCAAAATTTTCAATTCTCACCGTAAATCTTCACTTGACCAAGCACTCAATTGGCACACTGGGCTCCAAAGGCGTTGCAGAAACGATAACTGATCCAGCAAGCTGAACTTTCTTTACCCACCTTGTAAACAAATGAGGGTGATTTTTAGGCGTTATGGAACCAGAGATGAAGTGTGGATTCACCATTGTGATCCAGGAAACAAAATTTCATCAAAAGAGCGGATCCAAAAGGAACATATGGGTCTGTCAGGTTCAAATCTTACAGATCCTTTAAGAAGGTCAAGCCACTATTTTTTGGAAACGAAAATGCATGTAATTTCAGGGTCCAATAGACAGTCATAATTTCTTACTATGCGGGAATTTACACGTGGAAATGTAGTTCACTAAAGTGTTTAGTCATCAATGGTGCCTATGTAGAAATGTGAGTGCAATCGCTTGTTAAGTAAATAAATTATGAAATTCGTCTACTGACTTATCGACTCACCCTAGTTCTATCAGGAGTAAATTAGGTTTCCGAATTAATTTTGTCTTTGTTGATTCATTGGACTGTATGTGCTAGATGACTTATTGATTGCAGGGCGATTGAAGTACGCGTATACAATGTATTGAAAACTGCCGAATTGGGTCAGTATGGCATGCATAAATATTATATTGGATCCAAACTTGCACGCCAATAAATTCAGAGGTCAATCCCATAGCTGGTGGAGTGCAAGTTTCTTATCACTGCGGCTCCAGGGTACCACCTTCCCCCCTCTTTTATTTCAGTATTGAAGGCTGGAAATAGTTACCTAGATTAGCCCCCCCCCCCTCTCCCTAATTAAAATTTTGGAATTCACTCCTTCCAAAAAATTTTAAATGTCAAACCGTGCTTATTTCGCATCTATTTCTCTCTTTTAATTTTATTCAAAATATGTTTTAACAAATGGTATTCTTTGCACCGCAACATAATTCAAGAATCTGAAATTACAGCATTCTGGAATCTGCTAGGGTGATAGAGGAGTCATAATGGCCGTAACTAAGGTGCTAACTTGAATTAATTGCATTGGATATTACAAGTTTAATAAAATTTTGGATTAAAACACTACTCATTTTTATTCCGGAGGTAGGTCTGCAGATAAGGCTGCTTTATTAGCCTGGCAGCCAATCAGGGCTGAAAATTAAAGACACGAACTCATACGATCTGGTAATGAACTTTGTCCCTAATATACTTAACTGTAACCTATTTCGTTACAAATGGACAGCCCAAAGGTTTTCGATTTCATACTAACGAATCTATTGGTGGCTTGGCTTTTGTGCGCTCAACTTAAACAGCTAAAATTGTGTCGGCGCCACTGATATCTGTGTTTAAAAATCGAGGATATTCAATTGTGCCGGAGTTCATTTTGGCAGCTCTAAAATGCTACCTGATAGGGGTTCTTAAAGTAACAAGTAAAGTGGTCATTAGCGTCAGAATACTGAACTCAGAAAATCATTTTGGCCTCGGATGGACATTGTTCTTCTTGTTACAATAAGAATGGCATAATTCATCATCCAATCTTCAAGCCAAATTTAGGATAAATAAACTAACAAGCATGAGTCACATGAAATAATGCGAACTCTGGAGAAATCCAAATTATCCGCACTACAAGCCTAAGTAATTAGAAATTGGTGAATGATCATGTTCTTAACTCCGATTCTATTTACTTTCACTTCAAACCTTCGGATATTTGCTCAACTTTGTAAACCTCTGTTCAACAGAATACTACTTAGTTTAGATATTTTTATATGGTTAACATCGCAATTAATTAGAGAACTTAAAAGAATGGTACAGTTCAAAGTATTAATGAATCTACAGATATAACTGTCTCTACAGCTGTATTAATTTAAAAAAATGATCTGGCAATGAATCAAGAGAAAATGTACTGTAATCAGAGCGAAAGATTTGCAATAGCGAATTTTTTGCACTATCATCTATGGCAAAATAGAAAATATTGCTCCAATTTCTGCCTTACAGAGAAGAAAAGGTTTTAAAAAGCAAATGTCTTGAAAACTTCACAAAAAGCTCGCCACCTGTCAACAGGAAGCGAAACTTCTTAAATTGATTAGGTTACCGAATGTCAGTTCATTTACGAAAAAGAAAGAAGTAACTGATGCATTCAAATTTTTTCTGCCAATCAACAAAGGTTGGTGACAATGGAAAATTGAATTTTTAAAATTATATTTAACAGCAGACGAACTTTGAGTAGCAAAAATTATCGATAAGTGGATAATGTGTCTGATTTAATTAGAAACGAAGCATTTATATGTATAAAATACAAAAAGAGGCTTCGATGAAAGCATCAGTTGATAAGTTATTTTTTAAAATTTGAAAAGCTAGAAAAAGACATACGACAATACGATAAAGCAATCGATTCTGCGTTCAGACATGATAGCATGAAAGACCGCAGATTTATCGTACAAACTGAAAAATAAATTATGGGAAAAATTTTAAAACTTAATGCGAACTCATATAGTGGAACCTTCTTTAAGTAAACAACTAATTACAAAGATATTGGATATATATTAGGATTCAACAATGAATATATATATATATATATTAACTTTGAAAAGTACATATAGTAAAACAAAAGGAAAAAACACAAGTAGAGATTTTTAATGGCATTATTTGCATTAAACATTATGATCAATACATACAAAAAGCGAAAAATTGTTAGTTATGCCCCACACATAGTTCTTCAAGAAATTTGACTACTTTTGTTGAAGTAGTTCAGCAAGGGCACCTGTCTTTTTTAATTTGTCCAAATCGCTGCAACCACCAATACTAGTTTGTCCAATAAAAATTCGAGGCACCTATATACAGTCATTAAAGATAAATTCCAATAAAACATACGGTTCTTGCCCCAGTTATTTTGCACAAATAATCTTGAATAGCCTCATGATCTGGTCGCTTTGCAATATCAATGACATGCATATCATTTTCGGTGAAATTTGGTCCGTACTGAGAGCGAAGGATATCTATAGCATCTGAGCAATAAGGACATGTTTTCTTGACAAACATTACAACATGAGCCGACTTAATTTGTTCTTGAACAAAGTTCTCAATTTCAGAAGATCTACAGAAAATTTTGGTTAAAACAGAAATTACCGTCCGGATTTAAAAAGATTCCCCATGGCCAAAAATAAGAAAGAATAACAGACCGTAAAATCAAATTTGAGATACAGAAGTCAAGGTCGACAATAGATTATACAAATGACTTTATAAACAAATAATGTTGATAGAATAATATCTATGAAAATCAATTACTATCATTAAATATATAAACAAAATTCAATGTTTAGCACTTATCAATTATTAGATCATGATATGTAAAAATAATTTAGTTTCAATTTTAACGACCCTTATAAATACGCAAAAATCTAATTAAATTAGAACCATAATACTAATACAACGCTTCCTGTGTTTTCTTACTTTGTTTATTCATATTCGAGTCAGCAAATAAGGGAAGAACTGTGTCATTAAGGAGAAATTTAAAAAGGCAAAACTTGCAGTTCGTATGAGTTTACTTAATCTCAGCTTTAACAAATGTAAAATTCGATAATCTTGGTTAATTTATTAAATCGAAATGCCAAAAAATTTGGTTTCAATTAACGTAGTATATATTCGTTCGTCAAAATAATTAATTCTGATTTTATACATTGAATTCATACAATCGATTTATATCAAATTATGAAAAATGTATATATAATCTTGCGTGTTAAATTCGTTGATCTTAAGTAAGAATTAATTATTTTTATATCGATTTTAGATTAACCTTGATTTTGTTTGAACGTTTCAGAAATGGTGCTCCAATTTCGTACAATCGTTAATATATTTGGTTTATTTAGATATGCCTCGTGATCGTTCTCGAAGTCCTGTATCACGTACGTTTTTTTCAAAAAAATATGCAAATTCATTTTAGGTCGAAAACGTTCAAGATCACGTTCTCGTGATCGGCATAGGGATAGGCACGATAGAGACTATGATAGACACCGTCGAGTTAGAGATGACCGTAGGGATGAGGATCGTTATCGACGGGACCGAACTCCTGATAGAGAGAAAAGACGAAGACGTCGGGATTCCTCCGAAGAATATCGCGGTAAGGATCATCGGGGCGGAAAACCTCGAAGAGATGATCGCTCAAGCACTCCAGAGTCTCATGATGCCACACAGGAACCTACTACTATCGAAGACAAAGAAGGTAGGAATAATTTTTGCTCATTTTTTAATTGTGTATTTAAGTTAAGGAACCACAAACGGAGGAAGAAAAGCAAATGATGAAAATGCTTGGATTCTTCAATTTCGATTCCACTAAAGGAAAGCATGTCACTGGTAATAACGTATATGTTGCAAATATCCAGAAGAAGCGAAAATACAGACAGTATATGAATCGTCGTGGTGGATTCAATAGGAAATTGGACCCAATCACTTAAGAAACTTTCCATTCGCAGCTCTTCTCCCATGTATTTATGCCATCTGTGTGTATAGTTTCCTAATTGTGCCCTGTAAAGATATTCCCGAATTAAGGCTGCCTTACAAGAAAGGAATTTTGGAAATTAGAAGGAATACAATTTTACAAAAGAAACTGAGTTTATTATACAAAAAAGGTAAAAAACATCTTTGTATAAGTAAGGATATCCAGAGACTAATTAGAATGCCTTCAATCGGTGATGTCCTCATCATCAATTTGTGTTTCTTCCTCTATTTTTCCGCTCTAAAATGATATTATTAGCATTAAAATATGGAGATTAAACCTGATTTTTAGGATCCCTCTCAATTACGCAAGTTTGATCATGGGAAAAATTGAAACCATTATCATCGCTTTCATCCGTTTTACTTGCATAACGCTTATTTTCCCTATGATAAAAACATCAAACAATGAGCTTAAAATTACGCATCCCAGGTTGTTCCTTGTGGCAAAGATGTCTTTTCATATTGCAGGAGAAACTCATTGACTTCCTCAAGCTTTTCAAAGTACCGTTCATTTGGGAGATAGCCATACTTCCAATCTTCGTATCTTGTCTAAAATTGGGGCGGTGGCAATCACAGAAATCAAGGCAACCTACGGCAAACTGTACATAGGCAACTTGTAAGGGGGAAAATTTATCAAGTTGGGTGTCGATTGCGGTAAATTTTTCGATTAAGAGTTGACTAGCCTCAAGAAGAGTGGATCGGTTAACACTGACCAACTTAGGTGAACAAAGAGTCTGAGTCTCGGGATTGTCGAATTCCAAAAAGGAATCGCACTCTACTGGTTTTACAGAGGGTAGTAGCGGCCCAATAAATGCTTCACTTTCATTCTGCTCCGTATCCATTTGCTCTTCTGCATGGTCTTCAATAAGGGGTGATTTTTGTGTTTCACTCGATTCGCTATCAGAAACTGATCGGGATGAACATGAGGAGCTGTAACAGGATACATATTCTGAAAGAAATTCAATAGGTCCATCGTTAGTTAGACTCTTTCCTTTATCAGCATTCGATCGCATAAATGCCCGCTTGATTCGACGGCGTTTTCGAGCATTACCCTCGGGAAAAATGTGTTTTGGACTAGGGGACTTCGATTTTTCCTTATTTTCTTTAGGTTTCGTGGTCCCCTCCTGTTGGCTTTTGAGATAAAGTTCGTACTTTGTTAGATAAGCCCGATATTCATCTGGGATATTCCACGTAGTTTCTTTGGTAACGTAGTTGCAGTAGTAGGGAGTATTTGTTTTTGGATCGACTTGAACAATCCAGTTAGTTTTAGGCACTGTAATGGAATATAGTTTGACATAATTTTTATTAAAATGGATTCTACCGTTGTCATCAGTGGTATGAATATCCTTCATAGCTTCAACCTCCTAAGAAATAATTACTGAATACTTTCAATACCGCCAAGAAAATTTCGACTTCATTAAACAGGCGCTCGGACATAATTTCTCGAAATAATATTGACACTCATAGCATAGAATCAGCGGGGTGACCCATACTTCATCAAACAAATTTAATGAATTGAATCATAAATTCAAAAATCATATCGAAATTATTTTGAGGCAATTAAAGAGTATCTATTTGCATTAATATAAGAAATTTTAATTTTTTGTCTGTTAATAAAGTTAGATATTTAATTATGTATGATTCGATCAAGTTAAGAAGACAACATCCCCTTCTAATAAACTCTTTTTGTACCTGATGTAGCCTACCGACAAATAAATGGTAAATAAGTGGTATTCTACACACTTGTGATAGTAAGAAAATAGTAGGTCCAATAAAGTGACAAATATGGGAGCAATTTATCAGTGCACTATAAAGTTTATGGAATAAAGTTTATCTTAACATGTCAGTTATTTGCTCATATCGGTCGCGTAAAATCACAGATGACGTAAACCCATAAATGGCTACTTTTTAAATCGAAATAATGCTGCAAAATTACTCGGTTAAGGTCGAAATTAAATTTTACTTACAATATTCCACATGATACTAACAAATTTAATGTGATTCAGGTCACATTAATTTCGAAACCATACATAAAAATACTTTGACAAAATGAGGTATGGAGTAATTTATTCCCGAAGGGTAAAATCCTATTTGCCCCTGTTTTATTTTACTCAAATAATTAGAGAAGTAGTATTTCATTATACAAAAATCCTTTTTTAATGGTCGGATTTAGTTAGTAAAGTTTATTGTCATTTATTTATATCAAATGGCAGGCCTTGTGATAGTGATCATAAATCTCTTTGTAGACCTCGGGCTTTACAGAAGAGAAGGGGTGGAACAGAAGAGTGATTCATAGATGTAAAAGAGGCGGACAGACATAAACTTAGAGAAGCAAAGTAAAGCGAGGTGAGTACTGTGGAAGTGATCGAACATGATGCAGTAGGGTCACGGTAGTTTGAAGTCAAGTAGGAGTTTGTAGACTTATTGCCTTTCAGTATGCTTTGCTCATGGTGCACCACGTAGAGGTAAATTTATCGCACACCTAAAGTTATGTTTATAATAAGAATCAAAATTTTAAATTTAGTTTAAATATGGTGGTTGAAATATCAAATTTTATGAAGGGACTTGCATTAATCCATTTCTAGTTATTAACGTTGCCTTTTAATGATCAAATAATGAAACTTAAGTTCCACACAAAGTGCACTTTTCATAAGAACGTAATTCTTTTAAAATATTATGCAATCCATACGCGAGTCGAACAAGAAGAGAATGTAGACAGATTTTATGCGTGTATTCTAGGAGTATATATGACAATCCTTTATCCTTTCAAACGGTCCATGGGGTAACTGGACTGTTGTTAGACCAAGTCATCAAGCCTCATTTGAAAACGACACTGGTTATTGCAATATTATCCTGCACATAAAAATTGAAATAGTTTAATTAATGTTGTGGTTATTTCTATATACTCACGCACCTCAGCAAGTTCAGCTTTCTGGCTTTTATACGTATTACACTTTAACTTATTAGGTTTAGTTTCCAAAAAAATGATTTCAAATTCTTTATGAAATAATCATAGAATAAGATACTTAAAATTGAAAGGTGATGGGAGGCTAACGAAAATTTCGCAACAATTGTAGAAGATACTGTATAAATAAGCCTTAATATAAAGAGTGCGATTCTTGCTGTCGAAATAGTCAAGAATAAATTTACTCCGGAGTTAGCGAGAACACAGTATGCATAAAGTGAAAGGCGTTTAAAGCGACTTCCGGTCACTGCTTATACAACAAAATACAATTAGTACTGCTATTATTTATAGCTGTTCGGCTGAGATGCCTCTGTACCCACGGCGACCTTACTCACTCTACGATCAGTAACACATCGTCATCATTTTCATTTTTCGAGAGCGCATGAGATTCATCTGATCAACTTTGGGCATACTGTGCATTGCACAGAGTTGACGCCATAATTTTCACTCCTGTCATATCAAATACTAAATGGTAAACATTGCCGGCCGCACTCACAAATTTTGAAAAACTATTGATGATAATACTTGAATTTAATACTCGCTGATCAGTGTCTCCTATCAAAGATATTATTTTCTATATAAAAATAATAATTGTCCAATGAGGCCCCATTGTATGGAAATAATTACCCAAATAAATATAAACAAATTTCTGTTTGGTAGAAGGTAATCGCTCTGATCAATGAACGTTCTACTAGTATTCGTTGTAAAGCAATTACTTTTACACTTTATTAGTACTGCCAAAGAGACCAACAAGGTATAGTAAAATTGCTGGATTTTGAGTTGGCACTGGAATGTGTAGTTTAAGAATGACCGTATTCTACTGATCAGATCGGCATTACGTAAAGGAGCCCAGAAAGCACTTCCTAGAGTACTTATTAGTATGGCTGATTTACCTATCCCACATATACAATATCATGCGCTATTTCAAACTAAAATAAACTTGATCTACCCAAATGACCATTGGGTCCTTATTTGGTGATTTCTCTATTTAGAACAAAAGGTTCCAGTTTCTTTGTTCGTGTGGAATTTGAATATTCTCAAATCAAGCTAACCAATAGTGCTATTTATGCAAAATTGCACCTCTGTGAATAGAATTTGAGTGACAGGTCTATTGCATTAATCCTACCTCTACTAACTTCACAGCGTACGCACTCATCTTACAATTAAAGGTCAGCCAAGTCATGGGAATAATGATCTCATCTAGCCATTAAAGTGAAAATTAAGGTTTAGGGGGCTCTTCAACCAACTGCACCACCTTAATTCTAAGTTCTGTACTCCCTCCCACTTTGCCTGTAATATTTCACTCACTATGAACGAAGACAGTGTTGATGCATAATGAAGGTAGAAAATCGAAATAGATACTCAAAGCTTGCATTACTATCTTCCACGATGGTAGTTTGGACAGAAATCTAAAAAACTGTCACATTGATGAACCAAGTAGCTCATGGTCGTCACAAAACGCAGTCACTTTTCACAAAGAAGTAATCAATTTGAATGGCGGGTCTATTGCATTCTTCAAGTGGGTTTGGGCAACCACATCCACATTATAACTGCAGGCGACTAACAATATCATGGGAGCAGTCAACATTGCTAATTGGAAAAGAAACTAGTCACCTTCAGCTGGAACACCTCCGCCATACCCCAATTTCCTTATTCGAAAATTAGCATTAGAATAAAATATCAATGAGGATTATAAAAGCTTTAATTTGGGAAAGTGAATAGTGGTATCGGTACTTAAATCGATTTCAGTAGAAAATGCAGCGGGTACGATGCATAGGCGCACCTTCCTCCACTTCTTTTGCCATTTTTCGTCGATAGAGCCACAGAAAGTTATCGGCAATTATGCTATTGCATACAACTCCTGTATTTCCACGTTCAGCCAGCAACGCCTTTGTTGCCTCATTCAAAAGCTGCGGAGAACAAAATATATATTTAGGCGAAACTAGAAACACTATTTGTGAGTAAGGGAGATATATGATTGAACTGTACTAACCTCAACAGCTTGAAGGCAACAACCACGAATTTCCACCTCTAAAGCAGATTTGCTTTCAAGTAATTCGTCTGCAAGTAATCATAAAGAGAAGATTGTATTCAAACCAATCAATTATGAAACGAAGTCAGCACACAAACTTGGAGTGTACTCTGACACAACCTAACGTTGGTTTAAACAAAATTAGTCACTGTGCCAAGGCGATTACTTTCCTTCGTCTTTGTGACTGTTAATGCTTTGTCATCACATCTCTGCCTCTCCTACTTCTATATATCACGCTCCCAGCATAGACCTTCATCAATGTGAAAGCTTAAAGAACAATCTGGTTGGCTACTGAGACAAAGTCCAAGTGTTTGGGAATAAATAATGCCATTGGCCACTCCACTCCCTCAGTGTGCACGAGTAGAGATCGAGCCCGTTGCCTCTAAGATTTCAGACGTGCCCACTAACCTACGAGCAACGGACGCACACAGATTAACGATGTCCTTCTACATCAGTTTCAATTTCGAATTCGCCTTTTTCAAATCCCCTCCCGGAAATACTGAAGCGTATACCCATTAATTAATTCAACAATCTCTGTCAGCGCTATACCAGAGCATTTGTAAGCGTAACCCTACCGCATACCAGATGCACCAAGCTCCCATCTCAACCTTCACTCAGCCGAAGTTTAAAGCCAGGTGCTCTTCTTACGACCTCCGATCTCTGCCATCTCACCTACTTTCTGACACTTCTCATTAGAGTAATGTCCTCACTAAGTGCTTCGCTATCTTGGTAAGTCTAAATGTTGGTAATGTTTGGTAGCAATACTAACAGCACAGGGAGCCTATCCTATAAACTAACAGATTTTTTCTTGCATCTGCTAGTAATCCGTGTGGCCCACATGTGATGTTTATAATGCCACCAATTAATGCCGTATTTTAGAGTTTTCCAGTTTGGTCGACGATTATGATCACTGTGTGTGTGTGGGCGTGTGTCATTCGGATGGCAACATCGAACGACTAAGAGGATATAGAGATGAAAAAAGAGATTTAATACACCGCGGAACAGCGCACACAGTAAATGACCCGGAGCAATTTTTAGTATGAGAAAATGATTAACTTACGGTTCTTCAGCTTGGTCATCAACTCCTCGTCGTATTCAAGAACCTTGAAGAAATTCAAAACCTGCGGAACTCTAAAAGATGCAGAATATGGAAGTTATTACGATCCAGCAAATAAAAACTGTCATTCCGTAATTAGGAAAACCCACCTATAATCCGCAAACGCAGTAAGATTATCAATATCCTTGAAATGTCCATAGGATTCTCCCTTGAAAGCTAACCACAAATCAGCAACCAAAATTTGGACTCTCTTGTAGAGCAAAACTGCAAATTGAAAACACGTTATACTCAAAAAATTATTTTGCATTGCGATGAAGAAAATTGGCTAATACGCTTCAAGCGCATTGCGAATAGTCAAAGCATTGAGTATGTGTATCAAATTAAACCAATTATCGATAATTCCTGATAGCTTTTAACTACTCGATGTTAAAGGTACTTATTCCCCATATTTAAATGATACTGAGAGAGTATTCAGTAAGGTAACTAACATAGAAAAGGTCTTGATTATATCACATTCTAGTATACTTTCAATTTCAACTGCATAGAAGGAGAAAAGGCTATCATAATCAAATCGCCGCTGTCTGAATAATTTGGCTTCATTATCACAAGTCCAGTTCCACGCGCTCAGTGTAGACGTTTGTCCCCCCCCCCCCCCCCCCCCCGCTTTTCTAGATATTAATCCCTCACTACTTTATAACTTCTATCTCTTGTTTAATATCCGCACAATTCTCGATTTCTTATATGAGAAAGGTGATTGCTTCCTTTAGTCCTTAGAAGCAGGGTTATTTATGAGGAGGTATTCATTGTAATTCAGCCCCTCCTCCCCCCCCCCCCCCCCCAATTAGCTTTACAAGCGAAATATTTTGACGGAAGGAGGGGAGGGGGTTTGTCCTGTGACTCGGCACGGAGATCCCAGGTGCCACAAGATTTTGCGTAATTACTCATACTTTTTTAGGAAAAGATATAATAGGGTTAAAGGACAGAACGAACCTTTCTGTCCCTTATAAGTCGCTTCATCCCTAAAAGAGGGAAACTTCTCACAAACCAGTTGAATCAACTTTGCAGCAGATCCATCGCAGGCTTTAAGGCAATTCGTAAAACATCCACCAAACTCATCCAAGAGAACCTTGCCGTTAGTGTGCAGAATCTCTAGGCGTTCATCCAACAATGGAATTGGCGAAGAGGATGCAGATTTAAAGATGTCTTCCAGATCTGACTTTGTGAGACCCACTAGAACCTTTGGATCCACCAAGTTTATTCCATTCTGAAAAAAGTGACGAGTCCGTTGAAAGAGAAAAGCTTCACAAGACCTTTAGAGTAAGGGTTCTGGGGACAAACTACCCTTACCCCCCCCCCTGCGATTGATTATACATCAATGGGTATAAATTCAATTATCCTGACTTAGTAGACGCGAAAACGCTTATCACTACGGCAATGGTCAAAACTAAATCGATAGCATGTTTTGAACGTGACAAAAGCGTGAGCCTACGAGATAGATGAAAAATGTCAGAAGAATGCGAATTTCAGCAGAAATGGAATCAAATAAGAGCAAAGCACAACAATTTAGTGGATCGAAATTCTGAAACCACGGAAGATATTAAAAACCAGAACTCTCTACAATGTTCGGTGGCAAGAAATCAGAATTTAGCCTCAACTTCACACAGTCAAGATGAAGCAACCACAAATGCCAGCACGAGATTCTGCGTAGTTTTAAGTGTGGTGGCCGTGCTCTTCTATGCCTGGTCATTGATCAAGGATATAATCTGTGTAGTTGCTGTATCCTTCCTTGTCATTGGTATATTAAGATCAATTTAATCTAACTCTTATTTCTCTCTGCATTTTTTTTGTTTCTTGATAATTTGATAATTGATAAATTTAATATACTTAGTTAATATCCACATTTACCGATCCTTGAACACGTGCCAAGATTTCAATAGAATTAACTAGCAATAGTTTGATAAAAGTGAAATTATACGTTGACTCCCAAGTCCATTAAGGAAAGCTGTATGAAGATCTGCTGATAAGAAACTCCGATTTAACCCCACCTCCTCTGCTTAGACTAAAACATCGCCTATCATCAGAAATTGGTTAGAATCGTAAAGCCCCCTTGGTGAAAAAATCAATTTTGCAATAAAGCGCATATGTGCATAACAATTAAACAACATGGAATACTTAAGCACAATTCATTATACAGCAATTTCACTTTCAAAATGCTCTTAATACTACTTTTAAGCTGTTACATCTCTTTAACAATTTGAATAAACCTACGCGGCTCAGGTTCAAGATTTTTACTAGCGATTAAATGATTTCGAACTTCATTATATTCGGCCGATAAGATTTAAGCCCCATTGTAAACCAAGACCAAAAGATGAAGAAGTGCTTGAACAGATCTATCTAGGTACAAGGGGAGTTGTTTTGGACAATAGTTTCATGGCATATAATAAATAAATAAAGGAGGGCATTATAGGACATAGTCTGTGTCCTAAAGGCACAAAAGGGTCAATAAATCTTGTCATTCCAGAAGATAGCCTAAAGTACGAGTGATACATCAAAACTAATAATTAAAGCCCTAAACTAACGTAATAAGGCCTTATATGTTTCCCAAGCCCAACAAAATATATTCATTTAAAACTGAGAACGCATACAAAAAGGCTAACCGTAACACCGTCTAATTTTGTGCTCTGATGAAGTAATAGATGCCATGGAGCTTATAACAAAAATCGAATTGGTAGCACTTAAGATGGTGATGATGTTGCTCATCGAGTTGAGTATGCGCATTTTTAGCAACCGGATGACGTAAATTGGATTGCGAAGTGAGTGATTGTATTAAGACACAACATATGAAGAAGGTGGAAATAAGGACCAAAAAGCATAAAAACTACAAACGAATAGAGCGGGCAGCCGTTTACCCCCATGAGCGCCCACTTCATGAGCTCCCATGATGAACTATGTATGCAGACATGTGCTCCAATTCGGTCACACAAAGTTGAGAACCTACTATTTCTGACTAAAATATTAAGAAAATGCAATGAAAATCAATATCTTCTGTCTTTCCAAAAATTTTAAATAAAGCTCTAAAAACAGAGGTAAATGCAACAGAAACAATGTGGAATCTCTTGATTCAGGATTGCAACCCATTAATCTGCCTCCCCCCCCCCCCCCCCCCCCCCCCCCCCCCACCCCCTCTATTTCTTGAAAGCCACTAACTCTAGGTCATAATTCCAATAACATGACAATCTTAGTAGCGAAAATGGTTTGCAGTCAGACACCTAGGTACTCTAACAAAAAGTGCAAAATACTCCGGTGTTTACTTTCAAAAAAAACTTTTAAGAGATTAAGAAAGTTAACTGAGTGTAAAATACACCTAAAAACTTAAAAGTTGGCTTTTCGACTCAAAGAACAAATTAAAAGGGAATGTGGAGCAATTATATAAGAGAAAAGGCCTTAGCAATGACATGAAAACCTTCACATATTTCTGCAACCAAAAACCATAAATATGAATTCGACGAACCGAAAAGCGGAAAGAATGAGGATGTGACATTGTCGGCTTTTTACTAAAATAATCTACTGAATCATCTTATTAGCGAGAATTTAAAACAATTTTCAAATTTTAATGAGGTCAAGATTTCAGGGGTTTTCACTTGAATTCCGGAAGCACATATTTTCCAATTCCTCATAAGGGATATAAATTCTTGACTTAGCCCCGAGATTCATGAGCGCTTATATGTTCTCGATATTCAAAGCCTGCTGTGCATTGGTCGTGACACCTGAATACATTTGTACATCTTGGAGCAAACGGACATTAGACATAATTGAGTTCCCATAAATATAATTAACTTTTATTTCAACTACCAAATAGATGTTTTCAGTGATGAACTCTGATCTTACTTTGGACTGATGGAGCTGAATAGGCTCTTAGCTACATGCTAGTGGCGTAATACAGAGGACACCATAGCTGACATCAAGAGGACATAAACTTACACAGTAACAACGAAGCCGTTATCACTGCCGTCGCATCTTTCAATAGAAATTGGTTACTTAATCATGTGGTCGATAAGTCCTGAACACCAAAAACTTGAACTCATTCAGAAAACGAGGGAAAATAAGGTAATTTGAACATTAAAACAATAATGTATATCCTGTAAAAAGCAAAAAAATATTCCAATATTGCAAAACAATTTAAATGTTCAATCATCTACAGACCTTCAATACTCCCGAGATAAATAAGTGCCCAGCGCCAAAGAGAATAGCTTGTTCAAACACTTTTAATACGTGTAGATAAGTGATCGGGTAAATTTAAACAGATGCAGACGAATCAACAAATAGAACTTACATCGATAGCTCGATTGAGTACTGCACATAGGGCTGGATATCCCGTGTGACGCTCAGATTTATATTCCACCATATACTTTGGTGCCTTATCTGTCCAAAATGAGAAATTCAGGGAGTCTAAAACGAAAACCCTAGAATGCACAGAAATGGATTATTTAAAATCCAAATCAACAGACCAATTTGCCGTGAAAGCGCCACCACCCCTCGGATGTAGTGGAAGTTCATCCCAAGTATCACCAAATTTTCCGCCCAGTAAGCTTTCGTAAAATTTCTCAGCCAATTCGGGAATTGCCCTTAAGTTAATTTTCACATGGTCAGCACTTTTCGCGATAAAGCGAGCAGATTCCCTCGGACCAAGACTCATATCTGTATAATGAAATACCCAAGCATTCTATTAAAATAATGGGGGGGGGGGGGGGGGGGGGGGGGAAGGGGAGAGACACTCATAAAAATGACAGCGCTAAAGCAGTGACAAATTTTATTCAATCTTGTTTCAAGGTGAGTGGAGGTTTAGGTTTATTAAGAATGCGTTTCTTTTTGGGTTTTTTAGTTTTATAAAACGATGCCCGAATAAGAGTGGGCAAACAATAAAGAAATAACATAGTAAGAGGGAGAGCGAAGATAAATGGGACATAAGAGTTAAGGGACTTAAAAAAACTCCCCAAGCTACCTCCAATAGTGGAACCGAAACTCTCGGCAAAATCCTGAAATACTAGAAAAATTATTCGATCAGGTCGGAGATCAGCAAAAAGGGGGGTCATTTGAAGTTCAAAGTATTTGATACATTCATCCTGAGAATTTACAAATGGAGTAAAACTGGAAAGTTTGGTCAAAATCGATTGCTGAGAATAGGGGAGACAGTGTTCTGGTAGAGAGGGCAGACGACTAATAAGTGCATGACGTTTCGCTACACCTTTCAAATAAAGCTCGTAACTCGCAATGCATAAAACAGTCATGATTATGAGCAAAATTAAACCAAATTTGAGATAGATGAGATAGAAAACAAAAGGAAGAGCAAATAAGAAATGATGAGGAGTGAGCTCAAAAGTATCATTGTCTTTTATATCAGAGGGGAATAGGAAACGTGAGAATATTTCATTGACAGATTCGGGAGAAACACCAGGGCTGTGCTCAACAAATCGCTTGAGAATGAGAATATCTTCCCGGTTAAGTTTGACAAAAAACTCAGCTTCAATAGATGAAGATGACGTGAAATCATCGGGAAATGCGGACTGAATTTGGTTCCAAATTGAGCGAACCAAAATAACATGAGACGTACTAACAGGATTTACCCCAACGTTATTTTCATCAGATTTAACAACCGTTTCCTGCTTGGAGAACATTGATAATGAGCTGGACGCGCACAAACTGCACAGAGTGCAGGTAATCGTCAAGAAAATCAATAGCTGTTTTGAGATCTGCATCACGAAAAAGGTCAGGTTTGCATTCAGGTATTCGAAAACTGACAATGAAAAAGAGGTATGGCAATTTTCAAACTTTTATTCAACTAGTTAAATTTACATAATTTATTCAAGTTCTTCTTCAATTTGAACTGTGCTTGGCTTTTTTGTAGCTAGGACGATCTTGTAGAAAAGCGATTATAGCAAACAAATTAGTTACCTTTCTAATTTCCGGCAGGGCGCTAACAACTTTTGAAAAGATATTAGGACTCAAAGACGCCTGCAAAACTTGCAACAAATGGGTAGGCTGACCACAAACAACGATAGCATAGGCGAAGTGTGTAACGGCTTCATCAACATTACAAGCGGCGAGAGCTGTTTCACCGGCGGAAATCTGATCCAAAAAGAATTTATGAACGGCTCTAGGGTCGTTAAATGAAGGAAGCTGAGGAATAGAAGCTTTTTGGGCTGCAAGAGCTTGCTCCTTGCGCTCTAAGGAATTTAGTATAGAAAAAAACATTTACTTTGTATGAGCTTAGCACGGAAATTGGGATCGCTTCGCCTTTTGTGATCGAAATAAATACAATAACCAATAAACGAAGCTGCTGCTCCGACAGCTGCAAGCTTTACCAAATTAGACACCATGGTCAAAATCCAAGTCAGACAAACCTCGCAGTCCTCAAAAGCACCTGACCTTTGGCTTTTTTAACTGGCAATTATATAAACTAAAATATTTGCCAAGGAAAAACATTTAAAGGATTCAAAATAAATTTGAATTTATTTTATGATAAATATATGTAAATTATCATTTTCAAAATGTGGAAATTCGATATGTAATGGTTTTATGAATATTTAATCTATTTCAACAGATTGACGTAAGCTACTTTTAAAAGCAGTCCTTAAGAATTAAGATGAAATTAAAAATTAGACTTTAACGTACGCCGAAGAAGAAAATATCTCACAGATAGTAAGATCATTTATTTGGGTTGAGCTAAAACATTTGATTTACAGATCTAACTAATTAGAAAATTTTATTTCATTGTGTCGACATGATTTAATAACGTTTAATATATCAGATTGAACTCATATTATAGAGTTTCTAGAACTAATGCATTGTTTTAACTAACTCATTTCTGACCAAAAAATTAAAATCATGAAACTGACTGACTTTCTTCAAGTTCGGAAAATATACCCTTTTAAACAATCTGATTCGTTTTTTCGGAAAGATCAGTGGCTTCGGTTTGCATTCGTACGATTTTATTTATAAATTCCACAACCATAGTTCTATTTTATTTAATTGAATGCTTACTTGTATTACTTTTGACAATTCATTCGATTTTCTTTGATTATAAATTTGTTTTCAAACAGCTCTTCCGAGGGAGATCGGCACGATGCTTCCGTTTGGCTCATAATCAGGTTACTAAGGCCCTTATGCATGTTAAGGAAGTCCGAGAATCCCGTAGCCGTGATATGTATGCCTTGTGGGATGCTCGAATTGATCGCGCCTCTAAAGATCATGGTCTCCATTCCTCTAGAGCTCTCTACGCTGGCCTTTCTCAGGCCAACATTGCTTTGAATAAAAATATGCTTCACACCCTCTCTCTGTATGAACCTCGCACATTTGAAGTAAAAATATTTTTTCAGCCGTTTTTTAGAATCTTGATTTCTCCTAAATATCATATTTCGGTTATTTTTATAGAGTTTAGTCGATATTGCCAAGCAATATCACATTGATGCTGGTTGCCAAGTTCCACATACTTCCCCACCTTCAGGACCCTTTGTATCCCGAGGTCTTATTTCAGAGCCGATTTCCCCTGGTAACAAGCATTTATATGAATGATTACCCGCCTTCCCTCCTATTTCACTTTTAATTCACTCACTGTAATCTTGTAGTTATTAATAAATAATTTTGATACAATCTCGATTTTCTTTCCAAATTTAATCTTTTTGACTGACTCAAATTTAACTAACTCGTTTGCCAATGCAGAAGTGTAGAACATCTAAATGATGCAGTCTTCAAATAATTCACGGTCTTCTACGTCTTTGAATGAGAATTCTGCGACGTCGGAGATTGAAGATCCCAGCGTTGGAGATTTTTTCAAATCTATCTGGAACCAATTTATGTTTGGATGGACTGTAACTCTTGCACCGCGAATTCTTCCTGGAGTCCCCATTACATTCCTTGGAAAAAATTACAACTTTTCTACTTGTAAGTTTCGAATTCTTCTGTTGTAATTATATTTGGGTTGGTTATTTGATGCCATATGTGAATCTACTCATTTGCCTTCAAACTACCATGACCCCACTGTATGTCATATTCCATAACTTCCACAGTATTCATTTCACCCTTTCTCTACCTTTGTGTCTGTCCGTCTCTTCTACATCTGTGAACCACTCTTTTGTTCCCCCTCTCGAATTTTTCTCACTTTGATATTTCTTCCTCTGTGAAGCCCGAAGTCAGCTAAATGTCTAATGATAACTATTCAAAACGCCTGCCATTTGAAATAACAAAAATATTTTACGTTAAAAATATGAAGTTCAGTCTATGGAGTTTAGTTCTACCTCCTTTAAAGTGTATCTCAAATTTAAGATTTTTCAGTTAACCCCCTCGCACTTTTTTCTAGTTTACATTATTAGTAACCTCTTCTTAGGCTTCTCAAATGTTATTGGGATATTCTTCGTTAACTTGTCGTTCGATTCATTATATGTGTAATTATTTTAGCTTTTAATTCCTTATATATCGGTTTTGTGACAAATTACATATTTCTACTTCATGACTCAGCTATTTCAATCGGTACTTTTGCGCTCTGCTATAAGCCCGAGTATATCTGTCTACGTTTACGGAACATCGTCATTGTTATGTGTTTTACATTTTTTTATCAAGCTCCATCTCTCAAAAGCAGCGACAATGCCGAAAAGAAGGCTTTTGAGGCAGATTTTTACACAAGGCTATGGTTCACTTACCGAGAGTCTTTTCCACCCCTGCCAATGGTCAGTTATCCTCCAATCACATCCCTGGAATCCACAGAGGGTGATGTCCTCAATACTACGGCGGTTTTGCGTCCTTTCATTAGGAAACTGGAAGACACCAATTCGTTTGGAAGTATTTCTTCTGCTTCTCCTCTTCCTCCTACACCTAAAATTCCTCTATCGACTCGGACGTCGGATTGTGGTTGGGGGTGTATGATTCGATCCGTTCAAATGCTTGCTGCTCAAGCCTTTCTTATTCATTTCCTTGGACGCGATTGGATTTATGATCCCACTATTAGGTCAGTATGGGAATTCGTCCTTTTAACCGTTTAATAGATGTTTAATGTGAGCTATATCTTAGTGTGCTGGACGTATTTATTGAATAATTTGGTGTAACGAGTGAGTAAAAAATCGTAAACGTAGAATGTGTTGCGTCACGCGATTAAAGCTTTCTACTGCTTGTGGAGAAGACCCAGTTTTAAACTTCATACTATATATTCTCTGATAGTTTTCCATTCAGTTATCCCACTCCATCCTTTCCTAAATCAAGAAAGTATCCGAACAGTTCTACTCAGGTTAAGTTCAAAAAGTGCTGCATATTAGCCAGATTGTCAGTTATTGTTAATTTTAACTTAAATGAAATGGAGTTTCTATTATTTACTTCATGCTCCAGATTTAAAAACCGCATCCAAATATGATGCGACTTTAAATGTTACAAAAATAAATAAAAAATCATTAAAGAATACAAGAATGAGGTGTAATACAACTTTGCCACGATGGAATGAGATTTTGGTTGCTCATTGGCCTCTGTGGACCTATGTAACTTACTAACAGCGATTTTGTTGTGCACTCTGTGATTTACAGTGTGACTAAAGTGTAAAGATGTAAGCAAAAGAAACGTTCGTTCAATGCACTTTTATCCTGTCCTTTCGCCGTATATAGGTTTAATTCTCGATCTCGCAATTTGTTAGCCTACCCCCAAACATCCTTCCCTTTTGAGGGTTAATATAATGTTTTTTTAATTTGAGCATTATTTTCATCTTTTATTTAATTCTAAATCTCGAACAATGATACCCCAATCATAACGGAACTTCGAAATTTTGATTTCAAGAGTGAAATAGCTCATTTTACGTTTTCTTTCTCTATTTGACAATTTTTTTTATTTGTAAGGTCCTTTTTTTAAATCGAATTATTAGTATATTCCGCTGCTATCTTAGAAATCCGGTAATCGATAATCCAGTGAGTACATCGAAAATTCTCAATTTGTCACCTGGCATGGTTCGAATTCGTCTTTAAAATAGAGGGAACTCTATTTTTTTAATTTCTAACTTTTAAATCCATCTTGTGCTGACTTTTTCTATTACATCATTTAGAGTCCGACTTTTGTCCTGTACAGGAGTACGATTTCTTCTTAAATACAATGAATTTGCACTGAATGAGATTAAGTTAGTAGGAATTTTTATTAATCTTCTCTACAACTTACATCCACTTGTCTCGAAAGCTAAACCCGACCGAATTCTCCCGGTGGTCATGAAGATTTGTATTTTCTTGGTTTAGACCACAATGTGCACTATTCTAATGAACCAACTTGCATGCTTCTTCTCTTACTTTTCAGAGTATCAGCTCAGGATCCAAGCGCGCGAAGACACCGCCAGATTATTCGCTGGTTTGCTGATTCTCCTCTCTCCCCTCTCTCAATTCACAAATTGATCCAGGCCAGTGGATCTCCACCCGGCACACACTTTGGTCCTGCTGCGGTCTGTCGTGCCTTCCTCATTGCCATGTCGTGGGCAGAGGATGACGACTTGTCCCAGATTTCCATCTACTTCGTTTATGATCGGATCATTGTTAGAGAGGTAAATACAGCAGAAGACATTGGTCAGTTTCGTTTTTTTGGAGTGTAAAGGTTCTTCGGTTCAAAATCGATTTTCTGTTATCCGCTATTATCTTCGTTCCCAGTCGATATTTCTGGCCTACTTTTAACTCGAATTAAAAGAACATTCATTTATTTAAAGTTTTCAAAGATCGTATGTGTAGGAATTGTGATCTAAATGCGTATTTATTGCCAAATGTTATATGAATAAAGCAAGTTACTTTTGTTAGATGGATTGCACTCCCAGAGGAATTTGTCATCCTTGCGTTATATCCACAAACCTCTAACCTCATCATTGAAATGCGTCCTAATCTAGTTAATAACCAATAGATTTGACTTCCCTATTGGTCAACTGCGCGCACGTACTTTTGGACTTCTGTTCTAGCACTGACGCATTTGTTAAATTAACCTGACTCCAACGCTCTTGGTGGCTTAAATAGGGATTATGGCCACTTCATTTTTTATACTACTTGAAGATCAACTCTGCAGATTCGATAAGATGGTGGCCTGACTGTCAAGTTGGCTGAATTGATGTGCTGTTAAGACTCTTCAAGTTTCGGCCATCTTCATCGTCATTCTAGCTTAATCCTATTACCGGGATTTTCCGAAAATCCGCCCATGGTGGTTCAACGAAAAATTCCATTTCATGAAACTATTTTTTTGGAACCAAAAAACTGCCCACCCGAATAAGTGTCCATGGGCGGTAATGGTGGAGTAAAATATTTCTTCTAAGAAGAAAACACACACACATACACACACACACACACACACACACACACACACATATATATATATATATATATATATATATATGCATATATTCGGATGGGAGGACTTTCGGAGAACCCCGGCTATTGTAATGGTTGTGTCTGGAGCATTGGCTGTATTGGTTTATTAGAAGACATCTTATAGCAATGCAAGATAGAATGAACGAGCAAAACTATATGTGCAGGGAAGGCTAAAAGGTAAATCCATAAGTACTAATGAACAAAGCCATTCTGCCATGATGACTACTTCACGATGAGGTGATTGTGTCTAAGTATATCTTCCAGCTTCTAATAAGCCAAACTTATCTCACTCTGGTTTGCGTGCTTCGGTGTTGTCTTTGCTGCTTCCTATCCCTACGTTGTGTCAAGTGATCCTAGACCTGAAAGATCCAGAAGGTGCATTGGAGCACGTTTTATTCAAATTGGTGTGCAATTGGGTCGAAGATTTGGCATATATTGATGTCTGCATGGTTTATGATCGGTTTAGTGAACTTACTTGGTGTGCATCCAGAAGGGTAAAGTTATTCACCTTTAAAGTACATCCCTTCGTTCGTGTTTTCGTTCTTGAATTTTGGGAAATATGCTATTTTTACCACGTCCTCCCTATTCTACCAAGTAGAATTTTCATTACTTGAGTTTCTTCGAAATAGTTTTTTCATCCTATATAAAGCTTTTTTATGCATTAAAAATGATTGGTTGTCCGGTCCAAACATTCCTCCAGGTATCAATAACGTTTTATTAGCCTAAAAATGTATTCGTTTGTTTATAATGATAGTATATTTTATTTGATTCGGTAAAGTAGAAATAACCATTTCCTCACACTTTTAGGTGTGGTGAAATAATTTATGTAGAGGGTGTGGATATTCGATTCATGGGATTTTTCGTTTCTCTCTTCTTCTGCTCGATGGAAAAGAATGTTATTTTTTAAGGAGATGCCTTCATTGTATCTTTCGCTAATTTGGGTGATGATAGCCCTAGACTTCACTTTCTTGCCCAAATTCCCTTGAGATGTCAACTGTTCTCCAGATCTGGATGTTGGTAGCTATTATGTGTCTTAAAACATAATTTGCATTAATTTGCTACTAGACAAACATTACTTCTGGCATCAATTTACTTTCCTCATCTCTGGATAGGCAATGCATATTTCACCTCTCATCTATTCTCGTCTGCTATGGGAGACATTTTGTCCACGGCATCTTGGCGCTACTTCCATCAACCAAGTGATCATTTTACTAAATTTAGACTTAATTTATATGAAGTGTATCGGGTGTATTCGCGCCAGCATAGCTTTTGCAACTCATTATTCACTTGCCTCTAAAGTAATTACTGATTTTGCTAGCGTTCAAATATTGATGATCATTTAAAGCAGGAAGTAAATTGTCCACGACAGCTGTTTAGAAGTTTTTGTACGCTCACGCTTTAAAGGGACTTCATTTACTACGGAGTGGAGGTATTCAGGCTTAGCAGTTTTTTGGGAGGTCGCCTCTACTTTTGTTGCCATCATATGATTTTGCCAAATTAAGGTTGTAATTCATTTTTCTCTTGCAGACGGCTCTATCTCTGATTGATGAGGATCAAACCTCCTCTTCCAAAGCAAAGAGCAATCAATTTCACCCTACTATCTCCAGTAAATACCTTCTCGTTAATTTTGTTGTTATTTTGCTGAGCGTGGTTTGTTGTTGACATCAAAGTAAGTGGATTTATTTGGCGGTTTCTTATATTGGTTGCAAATTCCTTAGCTATTTCTGCATTTGTTTCCACGACTGGATGTGACCGTGTTTTAATTGGCACCCACCGATCTACTCAATTTCCTTATTCTATTTCATTTGGGTTCGTAACATTGTTTAACTCTTATTATCTTGACATGATGAAAATGTTTGGACCCCCGTTTACAATTATCCTTGAGGAAGAATGCTTCGCTTTCGGGCTACTTTGAAAATCTTTCAAGCTCTCCTATACTTAATATTTTACTTATGAGAACCAGAGAGTAAACTTACTCAGTCTTTGCTAAAGCAAATAAAGTAGTTCATCAAATAGGTCTTTGGTATGACCAAGTCTACATATCTAAAACATTCAGTATTGTCATTTCCAGCTTCTTGAAGCTTAAGTCCTCTCTTAAAAAATGACTTCTATCGAAAGCAGGGAAACATTTTCAAACGCCTTTTTGCAGCAAAAGCATTGCTTTTCTACGATCGAAGAGGTCTCTGTTCCATGGTTGTAACGCTCTATATGGACTTCCAATATTCGTATTTCTGCTGTTTTAAGTCTTATAAGAGTCAATGAGGACATGCGCTCTTCCTTAAATTACCATTCGTTTGTCCTACTACCAGGTTTATTAATGAACTTGTTGGGTTAATAGTCATAAATTTGTTGTTGAATAAGAATTGTGGTCACCGAACTAAATGTCTGTTTTATAACAGCGGTTTAGGTATGGGAGTGTAGGAGACAACTGAAGGATTGAAACAGAGAGATCAAGTGCGAGAGAGGACAATTCCAGTTGATAAATGAGAGCGTGTATATTTCCGTACGTTACTAGTCGGGAATAATACTTCAATGGGGGGAGCTTCTCCGACAGAAAGTAAGAGTTAGATGAATTTCTTAACCGTAATAGTTGGCATGTAGAATTTGGTGATGATCGAGCCGAATAGTTATGGTAGTAACGTTGATGAAGAAACAGTCGAATCCGACTAGCAGAAAGATTACACCGACAACTGAAATGGTCAAAAGTCCAGTTTAGAAGGGAGGGGTAAAGACACAGTGATTCGTAGTTGAAATGACGTGAAGGTGGTCTTCACAGTGTTTTTATAGACAGGCCGATAAATGCATTGCGATAAGCTCTTTTAAATTGATTACGTTCTTACTATCGCTGTGGCGTTTAAAAACATTTTACTTATCATCAAAATTGAAAATATCAACTTATGCTGGCTAAAACTGCTAAAATGAATTTGGGATTGATGAAACTGTTCAATCTTTAAACTCACACCAATTCAGGTGTTGGCCTTCTTACAAAGCTTAGCTTGGACCTGAATCATGAAATTTGTAGCAATGAAACTATGGCTGACTTCAAATTCCCATTCACATAAGTCTCTCTGAGCTATATTTGCATCATCTTGCCCAAATCGTATTTGTTATGGAGCTGATATACATGTGTTTCCAAAGATTTCAGCTTGTTATTATTAATTAACGAAACCTACCTATCTCGATCGCACAACACTGATTAGTTCTGTTGTGGCCTCAAGCCACTTTGCTCTCGAATGCTCTAATCTACTTATTGGTAAAATAATCCTTTAGTGTACAGCGCAACCTGACAATTTATTCCTAAGTTAAAATCAAATAAGAAGATTATTGCTATGAGTAATCACGATTAACTTTTTCATTCTTATTATTCCTCATTGCCTAACCTAATATAAACGGAGCTCTGTATCTGTGGCCACTTAGCCTTATTTTGCTGATGGTCTTGTTTTAGGCGATTTGTCAGATGATCACTTTCTAAATAATCTAGTAGCAGCCACTTCTGATCTCAGCACCTACGATGGAACTGTGGCGAATGAATCCAAACGAGGTCTCCTCTTCCTCCTGCCAATGCGCCTGGGTGCAGGTGATCGCATCGATCCCAATCATGTGCAAACTCTTCTCCAACTCCTTCAAGATCCTGCCTGCATCGGACTCATTGGGGGTAGACCTCGACACTCCATCTACGCGCCCGCCGTCCAGTCTGATCGCATTTTCTACCTCGATCCGCATTTTAATCAACCGACTCTCAATATCAATGATCTAAGCGAGGATTCGAATTTTGATGTCTCTGTAAGTTTTATTCTTCGTAAAGTGTTCTGAATTACACACAACGACCCCAAAAATCCCAGTGATAATAAGTTTTAACCTGATCATATCTTGATTGATTAGTTTAATTGCATTTGTTTAGGCAGATAAATGAATTATGCCGGGTGGTAAGGGAAGTTAATCACACAAACCACTTTCTCAAAGGAAATTTTCCATCGGATCAAATTCTTACCCACAAAGCAGCTATTGGGGTTTCTAGTCCGCAATGCTCCGTGATACCATTATTAAGTCCACTGATTAAACTCACGAGTTAGACATGACTTTATTTAGCTATACATGTTATATTTGTTGGTAGGAGATGGAAAAAGTTCGATTGGGTATATTTCAGTTTGCAGTAGGAAGCTCTAATCGCAGGCTGAGAAATCTGACAAGCGAGTGCTTAGTTGTCAGGACCCGATCTTTGGAAAAGAATATATCACCATAGTCTATGAAGTCTGGGCTCTTCATATGCTCCGTGCTCAAGTTAAATTGGGCGATATGTACTTACATTTGCATTTGTCTACTTATTTATTTATTTATTTGCGCTATTTCTCTTCTTCGCACTAGTAGGCCTATACCTTTTTTTGTGCGGTTTATTACCTTTTTTCAAATCTAAAATTCACTAAACCCAAAGAGGTGGGAAGATGAAAGATGTAAACTAATAAGTTTATGGAAAGTAGTTGATAGTAAACACAACGTTCGAAGTCATTCGTGAGCACTATCTTCGTCGTTTTTGCCTGCTATTGATATGACTTGCTAATCATTCGAAGGTAGGTAGCTAGACGGAAGCACTATGCACCTCCAGCCTATAAATGTCTCAGTGATTACCGCATGCAATCAATGTTGTAAGAATTCTTGTTGGTTATACAATATTCTCTTCTTTAGAGCTGGCACTGCTCTTGCCCACAAAAGTTGATGGTGCGCGATTTGGACCCTAGCCTGGCTTTAGGCTTCTATTGTGGCAGTCGACAAGAGGTTCTCAACCTTCTAGATCGTCTGCCAAAAGCTTCTCAACTTTTTCCAACTTCTCCGAATTCTTCACCCCATCAACTAATCGAAGTTGTCAATGAGTCTGAGAGAGCACGGCTCTTTTCCCACAAGTCCATGAAAACTCAACCAATAGAAAGTTTGAATAACTCCTATCCCCCGATTGATGAAGAAAATGGATCAAACCAAATAGCAGACGGGTTACAGGGTGGTGATCTTGACGATGGAGATGTAGAAACCTGTCTTATTGACTTTTAATTTTATCCCTCCCCCCCCCCCAGATGTGTCCTAGCATATATTGTGGTTTACATTACTTTCATAAGAAGATAATATCTTTTCGAGTTATCTTATTGAATATTTTTTTCTTTCACCGACTCATCTGACTTCTCATTCTAATCCTGAGAAGTTGAAGAAGGTTAGCCTTTCCATTGTGTAAAATACAAATTGATTTCCTTTCTCTAGGTCTTAACATCACTTACATTCATTCTTACTGAGTTTCATAAAAGTAGCTTATTTTTCTACAAATAAATTACTACCTTTCACGAACCGGAATTAGCTTACTGATGTTTTCTAAGCTATACCAATCTCTATGCTCTGTTCGGCAGTAGTCCGCTAAAAGCTCCAATTTAATATATGATACCTTGAAGCAGTAAATATATTATTCAATCTTGCCATTTACTATTTGTCTAGTTTTTACTTAGAAAATGAAAACATTTATCTTCACTTTCCTAATCTACCCCATTTGACTTCGTTTGGGAGTCTTTATGCTGATCCTGATGAGTACTTCTGTAGTGTTCCACCATGTACATTGCCCTGGCTTGTTAGATGCATTATGTGTCGATGACTTCGCACATTAGAGCTGATTTAGTGAATTATCTTCTCGTTACGCTCATTCCCATTGGTCAATCTCTGGGCGCAGATTCCGGACCTTCTCTGCATACATTTCGTCATATAGACATGTCCAGTGTTGAAATTCAAATAGTTACTTGACGAATTTAGGATTCTTAAGCCACTTCTCATTAATATAAAGTTTGTTTGACGGCTTTGAGATTTCAGCGCTTGGTTCTAGTGCAGTGTTGCACTTAGAATAGATTACGTCCTAATGACTCTCCCTGTTTATATATCTGTTGACAATATTCTATACCCGGATTCTCTCGAAATTCGACATCTTTGTGCCTTACTGGAAAAGACACATTTGCCTACTCTTCTGTCTTTTTCCTTTGGAGGTACAATGTAACTGGTGGTTTAGCGGCCTCTTAATGACCGTATTCTTGAAGTTTTATGTAACATTTAATAGTCCCTGACTACAGCCGTGGTATAATTATTTTCTAACAAAGAGACCTTGAAAGAAAATAGTAGAAATTCTTTTACAATCAGCTAGGAAGCAACAAAAGCTCAAAATATGAAAGGTGGAGGTCGTTGATTCGCTTACATTAAGTAGGAAAAGGAATAGCTAGGCGGCTGAAGTGGAAAATTCCCCAAACCGGAGGTTTCAACTAAACTCGGAAAAGTTAATGACTTAATGAGACAGACATTACAAGATAAAGGGAAAACTTTGTTAACTGCAAGACGTATCAACTTTCTTTGAATCCAAATGAAAAGACTCGTCTCGAGTTGTCTTCCGATAGCTACCATGAAATTCGAAGTCAACCCATAGAGAACTTCAATTAGCTAAACGTATATTTAAATCATTTAAAAGTCCTGGAGGTACTATCTGATCTAGGAAGTATCTTTCCTCTTAGAACAGAGAAATGCTTTGCGTCAGTGGCTTATGTTGAGGTTGAATTTCCAAAAAAGGAGGCTTGCCGAGCACCCAAAATGGGTATCCTGTTGAAAGATCTACTAAACTGGTAATCCTCGCTTTAAGAATAATAAATTGAAAAGTCATTTATCGTTGATAGGGTGCAGTCCTCTTCTTTGATTTGGGTCCAATTAGTAAAATGCTGGCATGGCTTGACGCGCTTCAGATAACCTGGGGTAGGACTAGCACTTTTCTTTACTATTGTATTTCAGTTAACATAAGATTAATTAATAATACCCGCGCTGACATGAAGGTCAGTCTATTGATTTATTCGGGATTCGGAATAGCCAGATGGCATATGCCTTGCCACTCGGTCGTTTAACCAAAGTAAGCGGCTCCTATAAAGGCTTAAGATTATCCTTCACATGCATGCAATGGAAATGTATATCTATCAACTCGGATAGAGATCGAAAGAGATCATTTAACAACCATGGCTCAGTAGTGTTGATCCTATGATTGTGTAAAACAAAACGCTATAAAAGACATAAACCAACATGTGAAACCTCGGTATCGTAAGCGCTATCAGCTAAAGCTCGAGAAAATTTAGTCTAAAACTGATCGAACTATTTCATCCGAGTGGGCCATCTACAGTTGTCCATCATGAAATGGTTGTTAGCAGATTAAAGGCTGTCCAGAATGCTGTCCGATGAATGATTTTAAGGTTATACAACAGTATAATAATGAGTATTAGAGTGCGGGCAGGGAAAGTATCTCTAAGAAGACTCTGCTAAAATGCAAATACGAAGATCAAACCGATGAGTAAGTCCTTGCACTAAAGATGAGATTTTCTCAAGTGTTACTGGAATTTCAACACTCAAAAAGATCCAATTCCCCACGTTATCAAGCTGCAGCCACAACTGAAAAGGTGTGATTAGATGCGAATCTACTTGCGTGGACCCTCACTGATAGCAAATCTTTGCAAGAGAAAGTGTGTGAGATGGTCCTTGTGATTCGATCAATACGAATTCAATTATGAGGTGCCAACCAGTAAACAAGCACTAGATGGAAAGAGGTTGACTGTAAATTTGTATGAAATTTTGTCGTCAATTTTTCTCATAAGAAATAGAAGAGGATGAAAGTATACAGAAATCACTAAAATTTATTTTGATAACACAATTTACCTCAAGCTTACCTGAAATGAGAAAGGTTGTTTTCTTTCGATTCCACCATTTTGGATGCTTCCTATGATTAAAAGTTTAACAAAAATTTATTTAATTCCATGAGGAATAAACATTGAAAAGTTTTTAATGACTTTTTAACTAAAAAAAGGTTAAAATTATTGGAATTATTTGCACATTGAGAATTCCTATCTGACCTTAAAAATGTAGTTGGAACCTAACGCTACCCCCCAGGATTTGTGTCCTTTAACAAAATTGTGTACTTCACGTTTCTCTACCTACCTACCTACCTATGTTAAGGTCAAAGAAGGATTGGAGAGCTTGACCTGAGCATCGCCTTTTATCATACCTGGCCTCAGCTCCGGAATTTAAGTGCTTTTAAATTTGAGAAAAATAGGTACATGCTTAATGTTGTTCCAGGAATTAGCTTTGAGATAAAATGGCTGCAGGCCTTTTAATTGAATTAAAAAATATATATATATTTAATAAGAAAGTGGCCTATTTTGTAGCGTTGTCGTAGATATCCACCTGTATCTTTTTCAACAATGTGGACAATTTAATTATTCATTTTCCTAATTAAGTGAATCAAGAGATATAATGAACGCAACAAATTTCATTTGAAATTTGATCTTGTCAATTCTTCGAACGTGCAATTTGGTCCTGAGTTCTGTATGTGAAATCCGGATGGTAGGTCACTATGCTGATAGCATGGAATGCTCTTGATAGTGAACATGTCTGGAGGTCCTGTAGCAGAATCAAATCCAAGCAATTAAGAAGCAAGAGTTCATTAAAAAACGAACTCGGTCAATCTTAAAGAGTATGAGGATGAACTAAGAACATTGAGAGCCTTGCTTCATCTAAGTGTCTACATCATTGGGATCTCTGTCAGACTTTATCTTATTTTATCACCATACCCTTCGTATGGGAAACCTGGACGGCTTCAGTACATGTGATTTCGGGGACAATCACTTTCCAAATGGACAGTGGAGTTAACTAGAAGGCAGACGGTTTTTTATTTACAAAGTTAATTACATATTTCAGTTTGTTCACAAACACTCGATTAGATTTAAATTCCAGTAATAAATTTCCTTGGCACTTTAGATTTCCTTCTCGGGATAAAAGAATTATGGATAACAGCGAGATTAGGAGAACTCTAATTTCCTACCAAGGATGCTTCGGGTGGCCATATCTGTGAACCATGAAAATGAAATTCGGTAATTTTCACTTCGACTTTGAATGATTGAAATCTGTGAATGATGTCGTTGCTCCCATATCTTAATTTATTTCTACCTTTGGTATTTATTTCCTTAGCGTTTAATTTCATTAGTTTTATCAGTGGTAAAGTTAATAGAGGTAGACTACAAATTTTGCCGTTGTCCAGACAATAAGCTCTAATCAAACTAACGGGAAGGAGAACCTTTCGTCTGGACTCTACGCCTACGCATATTGATACAAGTGCTGTCACATGTTTATTTTGAGCATGCCGTGTTTCAACGCATTTGTCAACCTGCTACTCATATCTGCCATAGATAACAATAATTTGATATCAGAAGCGGCTAACAGGCTCGGTTAGGCAACGAGCTCATGGAAACTGTTTAAAGTCGCTTTGACCAATGAAAAAGACCGGTTAACATTCATATAACGACACCTATTTGGTTATGAAGATTTGTAGCTTTAAGTATTCTAGTTAGCACAAAGTGAAGATAATAGGAAATGAAGCTGCATTTCTCAAAATGTAAATCTATCTCCTGTGCCCCGCTTTCAATTTACGTGGAAGTGGCTTCGGAATAATTTCATGGGTTTTCAAAATTGGAGATTCGATTTCTTTTGTAGCATATTTGGCACATGCATCACAATCCTGCTCTAATTTGTCTGCTGGGTGATGGTACCACTCTCATCTACATTTCACTAGAGTATTCAGCTGTTATATAATAGGATTTGATGCTCAAGTCAAGATTTATTTATTTTCTAAATTCCGGAACTCTGACCGAAAAAAAGAGGTAGAAATAATCCTCTGTGACCATCATATCATCTCCTAATATTCCCTACTTTATCTAGGCTGCTAACTTCCGATTTCAACTTAAAAAATGCGGAAATTTTGACCTCAGAGACCACCAAGTGTATTCAGCCTACTCAGAAATGCCTCCATGGAATCACAACTGTGAAAAGCATAGATGAATCCAAATTCTACCACGAAACATTTTTCTTTGGAGTTAAATTTAGTTTTTATGCAAATGAAAAGAGACTCTTATAGTCAGCTGACTTCCAATCTTGATTTAATTATATGGGGAAGTTATACTTTTGTTTAGTAAATGATCAGAAAAGCGATATAAATACAATCCTAGTTAATATTTTAGAAAATGACTTTGATTCAAGGTTGAATCTACCGGTACTGAATCCATTAGAGCTGGCCTTGCAATATGGATACTGGTCAATTTTATGAAAGGCAACATTTGTTACTGGTTTCAGTTAATGTTATTAAAATCTAAGCCAAACTCTCATCCAAGAGGGGGACTTGAGGACTGGGTGGTATATAACAAAAACAATCTCAAACTCCAGTCAATTGTCATCTGCCATATGATTAGCATGCAGTGAAATATCTTTACAGACATGAAAGCAATCAAATTATTTTTTAGTTAATGGACCTGCTTAGCACAATGTCCAAAGTAGGTTTTATTCGCTTATGAAATAAATCACCTTGTGAGGTGGTAAAAATATTAATCCGAACTGGAAATAATGGTACCAGACATCTAAATGTATCTACTTCTACGCATTTGTTATGAAGAAACAAGGTCTGAGTGCCAACATACTTCATGTGAGCCTACACGCTCCCATTTGAGTTTTAATAAGCAGCCTGAGAATAAATGGTACGATTCTGGACCAGATGTAGATATGCGCATTGAGCGCCAAAACATTAGTAAAGCACAACGCATTCAACCCTCCGTTCACCTGTAGCAGTGCTCGCACCACAGAGCAATCTGATTGGTAAATGCTCCACACGCGTCCGATATACACTCACACAAACCAATCAGCACACAGCTACTCTGCCCACAAGAGCAGGCTTCACCGCTAGCTTCCACATTCCACAATGGAGGCGCTGTCTAAACTGGTGAGTCCTGTTCTATCTTGTCTTTGCTTGTTTTCTCTCTGTTTGATGAAATTATTTCCAGACCACCCCTTTTTTCGAATTGGGCACGAGTTTAAACTTGAACTAAGTGGTACTCGTTTTCATTCTAATCCCTCCTGTTTATCTTCCAGTCCACGGGGTTCCATGACTTTGCTGCAACTGTATCTACACACTCTTTCGTTCATGATGATGTTGGGTCACTTTCCTCAGCTCCCTCAATCCTCCCAATCGTCTCTACTGAGAGCATGGACAGTGGAAACGATGTTTCAAACCATGGGAGAAGTATAATGAATATGAAAATGAGTCCAGGAGGGAGCAATAGTAATGGTGAAATGGACAAAATGGGCGGGTATGTGGTCGACCATCAACCTCCCCCAAAAAAGCTCTTTTCAGATGATATCCCTGTTCTGTAAGTTTAATTCTCAGTCTAATCTTTTAGCAGGTGGCTGAGAGCATCGCTTCATTTTCACCTGTTTCGAATCCTTTAGTGACCCCTTTCCAGGCTATTATGGCTTCGATTTATATCGTCCCCTATGTGAAGATGCTTATGACTCAATTGAGACTAAACCCAGTACGGCTTACTTTGTAAGTTGACTTCTTTTAAGCCTTCAACTTCTCGTTTGTCTAGTAAATAATTCATGTTGATCTTTCGCTTTTATAGTTCTTTAAAGATGATCAAGGATGGACGAATCTTTATGCAAAGAAAGCACCAACTTGGTGGACGCTATCTTACTGGTGTCAGCGCCAGCCTCCAGAAGGTTGTTTTATCAGATTAACTCCTGTTTATGGAACTTCTGATAAGCAACAGGAGGTTATTCAAAGGTGATTTCTAAATTATCTGAATATAATCTCCCTGTTTAAACAATTCAGGTGCCTTGAGGACTTTATGGCCTCACCAACCCCTGGTCTCTCTCGCTACAGTATGATTTTGGTGGGTAATTCGAATGCTGAATACTTCTACGACCCCACAACTGAGCGTCTTTGTGTAACTTTGCCCTACGAACGCCCAAAAGGTAAGTATCAACTTCCCCCTTTAAGTTTACATTTTACCTCATGAACATACCAAAACTAGGTCGTTCAGTCATTTGGGGGGTAATATTTACTCTCTCATAGAGTAGCGTTTTGAGCACTTCATTATGAACTCACTCCTGTGGTTTAAGCCGGTTAGTGCAACAGTGTCCATTTCGTTCTATGGTAGGGCGTTTCAATATAATTTTATGGAACTCGAAAATATACATAGAAAACTTGATGACTCACGAAATGTGAGAAGAGGATGATGCTAATTAGAGTTCGATCCCCTCCCCTACTTCCAAATTTTCGAAACAATAATTGCCAATTTTTCGTTCGATTTTTTTGCAGAAGGATGCGAATACAGTCAATTCAATGGAAAATTCACATGTTTCAACAGTTGTCTCTATAACGGGGGACAAGGCAACAAGAAACCTCTCTATCTCATCATAACCCTGGAAAGACCAATGAAAAAGTGAGTATGGGGTGGTGGCAGTCAGTCCCAGTATGTGCCGCTCTCACCATTTTACGGGTGCTCAACTTTCTCTCCCCCCCCCCTCTTGTATGCTGAGCGTACTTGTTTGGCGGGGGTGATAGTTCTATCCGCTTATCTATTACACCGTGACTTGGTTTCATCTGAGATGCCTTGTTTGCATGTTCAAACAGGTGACAATTGTTGCCAGCGTCTAGTAGTTCAAGCGCTCTGTGTCCATGAGCCACCGTGAATAGGTGTACTAATTGGACACAACGTGTTAGCTTATTAGCATTGAATTTTTGAGCTTTATTTTTCGCTTTCTAGTGGATCACCAACTGATGGGCCATGTGAAGTTCTTGGGAGACAATGTTTGAAGTTTCGAAGCTGTGCTTGTCCCAAGCGAGACAAGGATAATAATGAGAGGCGTATGGCCCAAGATATGAGTGATGGAAATATAACTTCTGCAGGAGCTTCCACTTCAAAGAGACGACGAGAAGGTGGTAAGTCGAAATCTCTTCGTTTAGCATTCCTCCAAATGGTACATACTTCTGACTCTTATTTATATTCTCTTAGTTTCTCAGCGAGCATCAAGAAGTTCGCGTGTGAAGACCTTCACCATGAACTCGGAACGCGTGGGTACGCCACAATTCTTTCAACAGGATGAAATCTCATCCAGTTCTAGTTATGACGATTTGGTGCAGATTGATGGAGAATCCTTCCACATCATTTTGATGCCAGCCTATTTGCCAGGAGGGGCTAATACACTTCGTCAGATGAGATCTGCTCTATTGAAAATATTTCAAGTTGCTCGGGAATGTGAGGAGGACCGCAAACCCTCGAATGGTTATAACCAGGAAAGGCAAGATGATATGATGCAGGCACTTAATTCTATTGAAGGTCGGACTGCTTCGTTACTGTAAGTTTACTTGGTAAAAAGGAGTTATTTGATTTAGGCAGCGTTATAGCCTACCTCACGTGTTTTAGACGAGAGATCCAAACAACACCAGGGTTCGGGAATCCAAATAGCTGTTCAACCGACTCTCAACCAAACTCCTCAGGTTCTCATAACTTCCAGAATCAAGGCGTTGCTTCCTCCGGAACGATTGATCTCATTGGTAGTTCAACTCTTGATCTTCTAGCCTACGATCATTTACACTCTCAACATTTGATAAAGTCGGAGAACAATTTTCTCCAACCCTTCTCGGGTCAAACTAATGAGTATCATAGAAATACCCGGATGAACTATGCTTCAACACTGGCAGCACCTCTTGAAAGTACTCTTCAACAGAGATGTTTTGAAAACACTGGGAATGGTACTGATCTCTCAACTTTTAATGGTGGCCACACAAGTATGGATTCATCAACAGTGGCTGCATATGCGATGATGCCTTCAGCGTTTCAGTCATTCCGTGACACTGATACTGTGCATCACTACCAACCAAATGTTTTCACAGCTTCTCAGAACGCTGTCAATCCTTCCCTTTCGGTCGCTTCAATATCCCAAGACAATGGATGTGCGTTAGTTTCAGCATTTGGCGCCGCAGTGTCTTCCAGTCACAATGGTGGAAAGATGTTTGACAATGGCTCCAACTCCAGACAACAGCAGTGTCATCAGAACAACGGGACGGATGTTTCAATGGTGAGTTTATTGATTTCTTCGCCTGTAGGCAATCTAGCTTTCAATTTGGGAGGGCACATTTTGAGATAACTAACACAGATGTCGTTTTTTATCCATTAAAGTCACCGGAGCCCTTCTAAATCTGAGGTAATTTGCTGTTTTAACCGCAAACCTCAACTTGATTTGAATTCGAATTCTAACGCGCATGAAGCTCTGAGTCTAAATCTAACTCCATCTTAGTATAATGCTACCTGTGTTGGACAACTTTTACTTTCATTCCCATTTTCTTTTAGAGCAACTCATCCTGTGGCACCTCTTCACCTATATCACCGGCGTCTTCAAGCAAGAATTAACTACGAATGACAGCAACTCACTCAATCATTTTTTTCTTTTGTTCTTTTGCAATGCGTTTCAAGCTCAAGCTCAATCCGATGTGTATATATACCAGCGACCCGTCCCCCCCCCCCTCCCACCTCCCTCCCACCATGGATGCAGCTAATCCTCCCTCCTCGTTTCTTATCCCTCTCGGACTTATATTTGAAAATAAATCGTATATAAACACAATTTTTATGTTTTCGGCCTATTTCATTATGAATTGGAAGTAATTTTGGGAAATAAAGTTATTAAAGTGAACCGCCAAAATATTACCTACCTCCATTATTTGAACCTCCTTTAAAGTTTTCGCTAGTAAACTAATGCTGAAGTAAGAAGGTGTTCGGCTATCAGGGGCATTTAAGTCAACTCTCGGCTACTTCATTGGTTTTGGCATAGGTACTGAACTTATTATCCACACGGAGAAATTTCATGTTTTAATACCTCACGCTACGACAAATACAACTGGTGGAAATGAAACAAAATAGGGATTTTAGAATTGAACTTGTGTGAAATCTACTGAGTTTTGCTGTCTAAAATGCTTGGTCTTATCTACCTGGTTGGAAATTGTCTGTTGAAATTTACTTATTTCAAATGGTAGGCGTTTTTTGATAGTTATCATTAGCCACTTAGCTGACTTCGGGCTTCACAGAGGGGGGGGGGACATCATAGTGAGAAAAATTCGAGACGGTGAAAAGAAGAGTGATTTCAAATGTAAATGGGGCAGACAGACACAAAGGCTGAGAAAAGATAAGATGAGTACTGCTGAAGTGGCCAAATATTACATTGAGTGGGGTCATGATAGTTTGGAGTTATAAGTCAACTTTTTTGCGGTATGAGTATACGTTGCCCATGGTGCTCCACATGGAGGTAAGTCTATCGCACACCCATTGTATGTTGAAATGCACTTTCTCGGACTTCAGAAGACAAACAGAAGTCCGATCATTCGAATTAATAATCCCCAGATAACTTGGACAACTATAGGTTTGGTATAGCATTACATGATGCATAAACTTTAAGTTTGAAACATGATGCTTTAAGAATGTTAAATGCGAATTGGTAATGAACAAATGAAGTGGGACCTGGATACTCAACACTTTTTGAATCTTAATAAGCTTCACTTCCTCCC